GTTCGTGTTCGGTTTGTTAATGTTCGAAATATAAAATAATTTAAAATAATTATATATAAAAAAATTATGATATTTTAAAAATAATTATATATTCTCAAAATTTATCATATTTTTAAAAAATTAATTCTATGAATTATAATACATAATAAATATTAATAACATTAATAAAATATTACTATTGATTATATTAATATAAATATTATAATATTATAATTATTATAATACACTATATATTAAAAAACCCCTAAAGCCCTAGTTCTAAACAACGCTTCTCGCACTTCTGAGTTTGGTTGCGTCTCCCTTCTTCTGGAAAAATTATTCCATAAGGACGGACACCGCATGCAAGATGTATGCGGTGTCCGATCCTGACCGTGGCCCCACCTAATTTTTTTTTTTTAAAAAAAATTGAAATATATACTGACCGTAGATCACCGTGATCTACGGTCAGGATCGGACACAGGCAATAATTTCTCCTTCTTCCGAAGCCTTCTCCTTCTCCTCTCAAAATCACGAAAGGTTTTCGCCCCACTGTGAGAGTTTAGGGTTTGTCTTTTATGCACGTTCTCTAATCTCTACTCCTATCTATCTTCAAGCCGACGTTGGTTTGCCTTCTTTAGCCTCGCCTTCTCGGTATTATTGTTCATTTGCTTGGTTGCTTGATATTCTTTCTTGGTTGGTTGTAAAGCTACTGAGGTGTCATCTTGGAGTATATTTTCTTTGATATTTCTTATTTATCTTCAGGTTTGCCTCTCACCTTTAAATTTCTTAAATTTCTTAGTTTTTGTTTACTGAAACCTTGTTTTTGAATCTTTTGGGAGTGAGAATGTTGGTTGTTGCACAGAGACAGAGTAACATTTCTTCGCTCTTAACGCGAGGATGTTTGAAAATAAATTTCATGGGAACGACAAGGGTTTTTGGCCATCTATATATATCTTAGAGTTTTTTGCCATTTTAAGTTACAGATCTTAGATCTGTATATATGCAACTAAAGCTAGCATTCATCCTTTTTATTTACATAGAATTTGCATTATATATCTTACTTTGATGGAAGGGAGAAGAACTATAGCTGCTTTGTGTTAATATGCAGTTGAAGTGGATCTTGAACAAATTGAGCAGAACTATAGCCTCCTCTAGTCCTCTGTCCTTAATTATTTAAGAGCAGATCCTGAACAAATTGATCTGACAATGGGTGTGCATTTAAATATTGAATTTTAAGTGTTAGATATGTAAATATTTAAGATTCATGTGGTACTTATGTGTAAATGCTCCTTTTGTGGGTAGGTTGTATTTGTCTGCCAAGGACATGTCGTACAGAGGTTAACAATGGTTTGATTGGTTTCAATACCAAATTCTTCTGTGTTCTGAATGTAAATATCGAACTTTAGGGGTTAGATATGCAAATTGGAGGCTCCAAATTGGAGCTGCTACATCTATAATGGTTATATTATTTCATTAAATTACTATTGATGAGGGTACATAGTCCGGATGAACATGGTTGGCAGCCTTACGCACAAATTAATGAGAAAATATAATTTGGCATGTGGGTATATAATTCAGATGTATGGACAAAGATTATCATCAAATTTATGTTATCATTCACACATCTAAATGTATTTTTTTTTCTCATTGAGGCTGATAAGAAGCAAGCCATGGATTGGTAATTAACTAGATTTTGTGAGAAAGAAAATGATTTTAATGCTCGTGGTTTATGTTACTTCTATGTAGTAGACTTTTTATTACATGAACTCCTTCTATTTGGTCAGATGCTAGTGTATGACATGCTTACAGGGTTCATTCTTATGTTTGGCTCTTAATGCTCTCACTTACATATATCTAACCTTATTGTCTTGCTTCATGTTAGTGTATGAAATGCTTACGGTGTTCGTTTGGAAGGCATACACTTAGGTTTGACTCTTAATGCTCTCACTTACATATATCTAACCAGAAAATTCATCATATCTAGTCCTTTTGACTGATGTTTGGGGCTTGAGAGAGGTGCAACAACTCCCAAAATTGGAGAGAGGATTTTTTCCCTCTCTCCCCTCCCTGCTTTGATATTTATGCTTTTAGTAATGGTGCAGGAAATGACATGCATATTGAAGTTTGTACAAATTGTATCTAGTGCCTCCTATGAGTGATTTTGCATTTTCTTTTTTGATGAATAACCAATTGGACAGGGAAAAATTGCAAAGAAATGAATTGATCTTATCATTTCAACTTTATTTATCATAGATTAAGGATCTTTTTCAAGATGTTAGCTTGCTTCAGAATGTTATTGAATGGAGTATTGTTTATACTGTTAACTTTATGGAAGATATACTTTTTGCATCCGCTTTACAATTTTATCAAGTTTTTCTTCACAGTTAAAAGAAAGAGGTTGAAAAGTGGACATGTCATTCATATGATCGAATTTTGGGGCTAAAAGAAAGGGTTCAAAACTTCACATGGTGCCTTTTTTGTAGTTTTGTGCATATGCATTGCATGTATTCTTTCACCTATGCTTCCATGAGGACATTTGAATGTATCATCTTCCGCTTAAGGCATAGTTTTTACATATTTTTCAAAAAAAAAAATAAATGCAAGGAGTTATATATGTGGATCCAGTACTATTGTTTTTTTTTCTTGGGCATTTGCAAATACACCACCCAATTCTTATTTATTTACATATCGAACACCTAAACTTTGTTGTAGTTTTGTTTTCGTCGTTTTCTAATTATCACGTTCTTGTTGAAAATCCAGAGTGGGGAAGACGTCACTGATGAATCAGTATCCTAGAAAAGCTATTTTAGGAAGTCTTTAATACCAAAACTTAGAATAATATAAAAAATATTCATAATTGAGAAATTTTTCATACTCCAAACTTAATTAACCATAAAATTATATTTTTAAAAATTAAATAAAACTTATTAAAGATCACATTTTAGGCACTGGAAACCTTAAATTTATATTCAATTACATTATGTCTTCTTTTTTTAGTTTATGTATATATATGTATGTATGTATGTATTTCTTGATCTCTTAAGCCCGTAAAGTGAATTATCTTCTATCTCTCAAAATAATACATCACCCTCTTTATGATTCATTCAAAAGATATATGCATGTGTAACTCATTTGATCTACTAATTCCCATACATGTGGAAATGCATCCTGTGATCCATTCTTGCCCTAGTGCGACATGTTTGAGCAATTGAAGTCTCCTACCATAAAGAGGGTTTCTTGAAGCCCAAAACATTATGGTAACTTAGTGTTAACTAGAAAGAGAGGAGTGGATGGGTTTAGAAGTTGATGATTATAACTGCTAGAGTATTCGAAGCTTGAGGGCATATTGGATTCATGAAGAAAAGAAGTCAATCCTATAAAACTTAAATTTGGGGATTTTAAAGGAGGCAAGAAAGATAGAAACCATGTCTATTATACCAAGAAATGTTTCACGAACATTTGATCAAGAGAGAAAAGAACAAGCTAAGTAGGCTTAATTTATCATATGCTTCTCAAAATAGCAAGTTGTTCATTTCATTTTTACTTTAAAGAGGAAAAATTCAAGAGGTAGGTAGTGTCAAAGGGCGGTTTGATAAATGAAGTTAAGAAAAGATGGTTGCCTTAATATTAGTAATAAAAGAAATGATGCAAAAGGCACTAAAAATGCATATATAGTTTGTTCTATTCTACCACCAATTGAGGCAAAAAAGTGGTAGCTAGCTATATCACTTGATCATAACAAAGAAGGTGATGAGTTAGGGAGGGGCCAATAGGTCCCATATAAGACAAAGTGTTTGTTAGGTCTAGAGAAGATTGAGACAACTTTATGGAACACACTATTTGACATCAATTATAAGTTGGATGGAAAATTATATGTCCACAAGTCGATCAATGATGTGTCAAAGCAAGCACAAGTCGACGGGTCAAATAAGTACTAAAATAGACTAGATGCTTGTGAGCATGCACAAAGAAGCTAATGGATACACATAGAATGTGAGGCATAACTACTGGACCAACATGTTGAGCATGCATTTGAGACATGAAGATTGCAAGCAAGCACAGATGAGTAAGCATTGGGTGCCCCTTCGCGCCTGCCCTTGTTCACCCGCTAGAGAACATTTCTAGCCCACGCTTGCTCATAATGGCATATAATGATGTGGACTAAGCCAAAGTGAGACAAAAAGAAGGTTCCATTTCAAGACCAAGCATTGCTACAAATATTCCAGACAAACTAAACATAAAACACATGATTGAATGTGTAAGGCATGACCAACAATCTGATGAAAAATCTAAGTAACCTACTGCAAGCATCAATAATAATAATAATCTTAACAAACATATATTTTTTTTCTCTAATAAATAAAAGTAACCAAAATCAACATGTGTAGTTATAAAGTCCAAAACTCGACTAAAATCCAACAAAATAACACTAGATCAATATCAACTAAATAGTAAGAACTCTCAATCAATCACAAATACATATGTAGGTATTGAACTGCATCACCAAATAATTATATCATTTAATATGAATAGGAAAAAAACTAAAATATGATCATGAACAACACAATTAAACCAATATAATAAATCTCATATATTTCATGATAACAAAGCATAACTACCAAATAAATGCTTCATAAAATTGAAACAATAAGAATAAGAAAAAGAAATTTGGTATTGTTAGGATGTTGGAGCTCTTGATGATAATCTACGCAATCAATAATGACAAAGCCAGATAAAGGTGATGGCTGAAGAAGACAAAAACAATGATATTTGCTTATAGCGAAGAGAAAACTTTTGGCTGAGCTTACGATGGTTACCTCAGAAAGATGAAAATTACAATGCCATGAAGGGATCATAATTCTTATATTTGTTGCCACGTGAGGTGAAAAAGAAAGCAGAGGCTTTGAACTAGACTAATTAAGGGTGAGCAAGTTTGGTTCAATTAGTGTGCCTTCTTATTCGATACAACAAAAAGAACCCAAGTTTTTTTAAATTTCATATTCAACCTTTTGTCCCTTGAGAGAACTATACAACTCAAGATAATTTAGCTCCAGAGTTTTTAATACAAAACAACAAATAGTTTCTAGCCTACTGATGATAGTTCTGTAATCAACCATGTGTTTTCACTCCTTATAACGTTGATTCCCAATTTGAAAACACCACGAGAGAAGCCTGGCATTGCCTTCAAATAAAAGTGCTGAAAATTCACTAGTTCGGTGAACCATAGCACTGTGAAGCATAAAAGGCTAATATTTTTCAGCTAAGTTTAACAGCATCCAACTTTCTTCACGGCAGAAACATCATCTGCCATGCTGACACTGATCGTATGCCCTTTCGGTAAGACTGTAGCATCAGCACTAGAAATAAGAGCCTTCCTGCTGGCAACGCGAAAGATCTGAGTTAGGACTTCAATGAATGCATTGTCCACATTCATGGACTCCAAGGCCGATGTCTCCATGAAGAAAGTGTTCTCTCTCTCAGCAAAGGCCTTGCCATCCTCTGTTGAGACCACCCTAAGATGACGCAAGTCCGCCTTGTTCCCCACAAGCATGATCACGGTGTTGTGATCGGTATAATCTCTGAGCTCCTTCAACCATCTTTCCACACCATCGAATGTGACCTTGCGGGTGACATCGTAGACAAGGAGTGCACCAACCGCACCTCTGTAGTATGCACTTGTGATGGCGCGATACCTATTTGAGAAGACAAGGGGGAAGAATTTGAAGATTATAATATAAAGATAGTATGAAAAACTGAAATCAGGATTTTTGATAGATTTCTGACACAGAAAAGAGATGATATTGCGCAGCACTGTAAAGAACTCGTAACATAGAACTTGTGAACTTGGTTGATGAATGCAGAAGTTGAATCCTATTACCTGATAAAAGCAGAATAAACTTCTTTATGAAGAGATAGTTTGTTAAAAAGAATATGCTTTCCAGTGATGCCATAAGTGCGGCAAAATATGTGATATGAACAACAGAGACTCGTGGATTAAACTTAATGTTAAATACAATGCCAACCCCACACTTTTGGGCCTCTTCACAAAAGATCAAGCTTCTGAATACCCTCCACATTTTTTCAAGTACCGTTTGAGATTTTTGCCATGGTTCCCTAACTTGATTTCTGGTCTACAAAGAAATTATTTTTGCTTGCAGCATTAAATATTCCGCTAATTTATGTCAAGTTGCTTGTTTTAAACTAAATTTAGATGATAATAATTTTTTATTACCAAAATCATCACCCCTAAAAGTCAACTATTTGTCTTCTCTCCTGTCCTCTACGATTTTGGTTTTGAGTGGGTTCCCATTCTTCTCTTCCTAATTCAGCCAAATGTCTCAAGGAAAGGTGACAAGGACCAAAAATAGAAACAACGATGAGAATAAAGACGTGAGCTCCAAGGCTTTAAAGCCATAACTAGTGCTTCCTACATGAAAGGCAAAGGAGGAAGGCAAATGAGGCCTTAATAGTTCTATAAGGCTGAATTAAGAGTAGAGTGCGTGAAAAGAATGTATCACTCCAAGCATAAGGTCTAGTAAGAACTCCCGCTCATCTTCTTCATTGAACCAAAGATTTGTTCATCTTTCATAGTCTACCGACAAAGAGACAAACTCCAATTGTTATTATGACAATAAATGCAGTCATTTTCATGACTTTTTTTTTTCTTTTGCTATAAAGAGCCTTTGTATTTATGTTGATGATTCTATAACTGTTCTTCACTAATGTATGAATTTTTTGGATGACTTTCTGAAATCTCAGAACTCTTTTTTGGTCAACATCAAACTCATTCTAAATAGATGAAGTGTGGAGAAGTGAAGATTAAAGTGTTGGGATGAAAATTTGGGCTTCGATTAATTTACAATCAAAACCACACCGCGGAAAAAACATCGCACCGATTCGAAAAATCTAGAACAAAATATCAAACAGAAATGCATAGCAAGTAATCTCATAAAACACACCAAAATTTAAAGTGGAAAAACTCGATAAAGGGAAAAAACCATAAATCTACACTAGACCAAAAATTTCACTATGAAAAGATAAATGTACCGAAATTTATACCACTCAGATCCTCCCTCTACATCAATGAAACTTATAGTAATTTCGCTCTAAATCCTCTCTTGATCGTACAAGAGAAATTACACGCTCCGAAATTCACCTCCTACTTCACCACTCCACACAAAAGCCCTTCAAGTGTTCACAGCGCGCGCGACAGAGAAAGAGTGCTTCGTGAAACAATGACTAAAATCCCTAACTGTGTATGCAACTAACGCCTAAGCGCCACTCTTGGGAGCTACATTTCTGCTTGCTCTAGTTGAAGTCACGAATCCAGGCGCTGTCGCACTCCGAAATGAGAGCATGAGCGATGCCTTCTCTGAATCTAGACGTGGGGGCACTTGAAGTGGGTGTCTGGGCATCACCCTCTTAGAATCCAAGTTCATGGGCGCCCCTCATATCCTGGCGCCTGGGCGCTCCCTTAGGCCCTTAAGCGCTAGTGATGCTGCCGCCTTCCTATAGGTTGTCTGCCATAAAAACGGGCTTCACATTGAATAATCTCCCACTTGATGACTGATTGCATCTCAAAACATCTCCTCAAGATCTGCACCATCTTCATTGTTTGTATTGTAGTGTGGCTCACCTCCGACCTCAACTTTCTTGGACTCCAACTAAAGCTAAGAATAACTTCAATTTTTTCAATAATCACCACCTTAATCAACAAATCAGCAGAATTCTAAGCTGTGTGTATTTTTTCCAAGAATAACTATCTATTTTGTAGGAGAGTACGAATAAAGTGATACCTCGGCTAAATATATTGTCCTGACTTGAAAAGTAGCATATTTGACTAGATGAATAGCACTCAAACTATTACTATGAAGCATTCCAATCATCAGCTCTTGCCCAAGTTTTGTCATAAAACTCTGCAATCAAACCATCTCCATGCTAGCCGCAGTAATAGCAATATATTCAGCTTTTGTGAATGAAAGTGCAACAATCTTACGAAACCTGGAGACCCAACTTAATGTTGTGTTTTCCAAAGTGATGATATACCCTATTGTACTTCTTTTATCATCTATATCACTTGTCAAATCTGAATTTACCAATCAATGTAGACTGATTCCTACACTTCCAAAGCAAAGTGCTCTGTTGATTGTTCCCCTCAAATATCTAAGAATTCACTTCACTGTCTCTTAATGATGTTTGTCTAGATACCCATGTACTTGTTGATGATTCTCATTGCATATGTAATAACCAGTTTCATATATATCATAGCATATATTAGACTCCTAACTGCTGAAGCATACTGATTTCTCATATGTGCTTGCTCTGTTTCATACTTAGATGATATTTTATTAGATATTTTGAAGTGACTATCTAAGGGGGTGCAAACTAGTTTTGTCTCACTCATGTTGAACCTCTGTATGATCTTCTTAATATACACTATTTGAGACAACTTCGGTATACATAAACTACTGTCCCTATTGATTCTTACCCCGATGATCTTCTTGGTTGAACCTAAATTCTTCATCACAAATTCTTTTGATAATTGCTCCTTCAAATTTCTGATTTTTTTCATATATGCCCCTACAACCAGCATATCATCCACATAAAAAAAGAAACAAGCATGTTGAATAACTTCTTCATCAAAAAAAGCTTTATTTGAAGAAAAAGCTTTTTAACACATCTTTGTCAGTGTCTTCATGAGATTCATCGTAGTTTTCTCATTCATTATGTTGAACACGGCAAACAAGAAAAAGGTACAGATCAAACCTATTGTTGCTCGATCCAGCACATTTCATTCATCCAGATTCATCATTTTAGGCTTCTTTGTGATTCATTGTAGTAGCAAATACAATTCTTTTATAAAGCAAAATCTTCTGCTTGCAAATTCCAGAACACAAAGTGGATCCATTGAACTACTTCAAAAAAGAAACCACTACTCTGATACAACTTGTTAGAATGATAAACTTGGGATTTGATCGATTCACAACCAAAACCACATTAGGGAAAAAGGATGGCACCGATGGGGATGCTATTAGTGAATGTTTTAGATATCTCGGGTCTATTGTTCAAAGTGATGGCGATATAGATGGGGATGTTATAAGTAGAATTCAGGTTGGATGGTTTAAGTGGAGCAATGCATTAGGTCTATTGTATGATTGACAAGCATCGCTTAGACTTGAAGAAAAAATTTTATAAGATGGTTGTGAGAGCTGCAAAGTTTTATGGTGCAGAATGTTGGCATATAAAAGAGAAGCATGAAACTAACTTGAGTGTTGCTGAGATGAGAGTGCTTAGGTGGATGAGTGGCTTTACACTTAAGACAAAATATGAAATGAATAAATTCGTGAAAAGGTTTGTGTAGCTCTAGTGGTAGACAAGATTAAAGAGAGTCGACTTAGATGGTTTGGTTGCATTAAATTTCGACTATCTAATGCTCAAGTAACGAGAATAGATGTTTTAGATTTGACTTTTGTTAAAAAAGGTAGAGATGGACCTAAAAGGACTAGGGCTTGTTGTATAAAAAATGATCTTAATTTATTAGAACTAAATAAAAATATGACAGTCAATAGGACACAATGGAGAAAAAGGATTCATGTAGTCGACCCCACTTAGTAGGATAGATATTTATTGTAGTTATTGTTGTTGTTGTTTGCTCTTGAAATTTTTTGTAGAAATAATAACACCATAAAATTTTTGGGTGGGTCAAGCAAGGGAGTGCTACCCGCAACACTTAGCCAACCCAAAGAAAAGTGGAATTCATGAAAATAGGACCTCATCATTAAAGATTTAGTCAACTATAAGGACTATTCTATAAAAAAAATTCTTAATAATCGCGTATTTGGAGACTTCTCAATTTCACAATCAACAAATACACTTACTAACTTTTTAAAATATTCAAAAAAATGAGAACGATCAAGGAAAATCTAACTTAAATCAATTTTCCAAAGGAAAGTCTAAATTTAAAAAATATAAAAAATTTTCTATAAACTACTAAAATCTAACAAAAGATCCTAGAAGAATTTAGAAGATCCCAAAAGCTCTTCCTTGGCATCAAAAGGATATTTTAAGAAGAAAGATTCAAATTCAAAACTAACAACCTTGAATATAATGGGTCAAATGAAGGCACCAAAAGTGGTTGAAAGAGAAGAATTCAAACACACATTAAAGAAATAGTACCTCCCTCCTTTCTATAGCTATCCACACAAAGGATTTTGAATGAAAGATTTCAAACAACATTGTTAATATGAGTGAAATGAGTAAAAGATTTTTTTTTTGCATATCTAAGTAGAAGAGGTTGATCTTAAAGAAGATTAAAATAAGAAATAATAAGTATGCGCAGTCTATTTGGGACAACTTTGTATTAGCTTTGCTTTTCAAGTTGTGATTATGCTACAAGCCTTTCAACTACTTTTCAAAAATTTATGTTATCTAGAATAGTTTTTCATATTTGAGCTCATTATCTTGGGTTTTATTGGTGAAGCAAAGTTTTCTGGTATCTCAATCTAATAAATTATAAAATAACTTCAAATAGTATTTTTTATGAGAGTTTTTCTAGCTCTCACAAGTCATAAATATCAAAGCATGGCTTCTAGCAATTGCTAGCTCCAGCACTTAAGTTCGATTGCAATTGATGTCATCTAACAATCGATGCCAAGATTTATATTTGTAATTATTAGTACAAAGAAAGAACATATATGCTCATAGTTTTCAACATCGATAACCTTAGTTCAGTTACTCGAGCACTTAACAATGACGTTGTCACAGAGGAATAAAACTATGAGACAAGTTCGTTGCTAACAGAAGGGGAAAGAGGGAAGGAAAGTAAAAAATTCATAAAGAAGGAAGGATTTCTTGATAGAGGAAGATTTAAACCATTAGAAAGGTTAACTCATCATAGAATGGATCACTGTGATAAACTCAGACTAGAGAGATCACTACCTCTAACCCATCCACTTCCAACCTCAACTCCTATGAAAATCTTGATAGCTAAACTGGTCGAGGCATCCAAAATAAAAAAAAATTCTTAAAAGGCTAGTGCTAAGGAGATCTAGAGGGTCACCCATAAATAGAGATCACAAGCCTGATAAAGAAGAGTGTCTTCATCTCTGAAACTTAATTGAGAAGATGATCAAAGTCAAGAAGGTGAACAAATTTATGCTCACCGACCCAAACACAAGGATACCAACAAAGACACCAATGAAAGAAGATAGATATGAGTTGTACCAGCTTAGACAATCCACATAGTCGGTGTGGTTCAAGTAAATTATGGGTTTACGCACTTCTCACCACTCAAGCCTTAAATGATTGCAATTGGAAGAGGTTAACTTGAGAAGCTCCTCCAAACCATCAGCCTCTACCATACCTCCAAACACATTAACAGATGATAACCTACCAAAAAATGATAACATGTACAATATTTTCATAGTTTGTACAAGACTAATAATCAACTATCAAATTGGTAACATTCAAATACACCATAAGCTCAATAAACATCATCTTCAAAGGTGTTTATAACAAGATAAATTTGGAAACTATCGACTAACGCCTACCTCAGGACCACTCTATGGACTCTCTAAAGAGTGCAAGGAGACAACCAGTGTAATCACTTTGCCTGTAACATGGGGAGAAGAAAAAAAGATAGTTTAATATCATGGCCAACTTCTTCATAGTAGACTTGCCAAATTGTTGTTGCACATGGACATCAACAATTGGAACTCGAACTACCTGAAGAACAAATATTCATTACCACACATAGATGTTTTAGTTAACACAGGTGGTCGGCTATTCGGCAATGAGCTTTCACAACGCATTTATTAAGCATCATCAAATCAAAATGCACGTAGCTGATTTAGATAAGACAACTTTTATTACTGATGATAGGCTCCTTAATTATAATATAATGTCATTTGACCTTAAAAGTATGGGAGCTATTCATAAATGTTTGATTGATAAAATTTTCAAAATTCAAAATTAAAAACCTGGAGATATATATGGATGATGTACCTATAAAAGGCAAATCACATGCATAACATATACTCGATTTGGAAACATGAGGCTCAATCAACTCAATTGCACTTTTGGCATCATAACAGACAAACTTTTAGGTTTTTTGCTCACAACTGATGACATTAAAATGAAACCAAAAAGTTCAAAGTGATCCTTGAGAAGCAATCGACCAAGAAAATCAAAGAGCGGCAAAAGCTAATAAGATCAAATATCAAAGCAGGTAGGCTCATCTGCAATTCGGACAATAAGTGCTCGACATTCTTTAAAGTGCTGAGAAATGCAAAGCAACTCTCCTAGAACAAAGTGTGTGAAAAGGGTTCACTCATCTAAAGTCATTTATACATTTAACACCTCTACTTCAAAGTCTAAAACCAAGAGAATACCTTTTGTTATACCTTGGTGTGGATGAAGAAGTAGTCGGCTCAGTACTTTA